TAGTAGTAGTAGTAGCAGCAGTTGTCGTTGTTGTTCGTGGTAATAATAGTAGTGGTAGCAGGTCCGATTTTCACACGAGGCAGAACTTGCAGAACCGGTAGCTGCATCGGTCGCAAGGCCGGATTTGTGCTGGATTGGCTCTCAAGCTCGATCAGCTCACAGAGGCCTCCGAATGCCGAACCAGCCAGTTCCTTTGGATTTGGCAGCCTGGATGCAGGGCCCGTCGCCTGGTGCTTTCGCACGTCCTCAGCAGGTCCTGGCCGTTTAAGAGAAGCAACTCCTGCAATCCGGAGCGAGAGAGAGGCGACGCGGGGCTTTGCTGCCTTGGCAGAGCTGCTTCACTGCCTGAGCCTTCTGCCGGCCAGTTACTTAACGGCTCACACTTAGACGGCAGTTTAGCCTTTTTCCCTCTAGAGGCGCAGTCGCACAAATCCGCTGAACTGGCCGTGGCGGTCAGCCATTTGATGACGGAGCGGCCGAGTAGCATCTTTGGATGGTACATGATGATACACTGATACACTGGTACGTGCATGCAACCGTTCCAGCCAATTCAAATTCTGAGGTTGATGTTCATGGTAACGTGTTTGGGCATGTTCACACAGAAGTTAAGGTTCTTGGGACACATGTTGAACGACTATCAGCAGGACGTTGAGCGTCGAGGTGTCGTGTTTTTGAGTTTGCCATCTGCAGAGAGGGAAGAAGCGCACACGCCAAGCTGCCAAGACGAAAGGCGCAGCCCCCGGCAAAGACGTCACTGGATTGATCGGACCGGGCCACAGTTCCAACGTTGCATGGCTTTATGCTGGGATCTTGGGCTGGAAATCTTCACCAAAAAAAGAACGCAATGAGGTCGGCTTCCGGAACCGAGAGCTTTGGCACTGGCTGCAGCTGGCACCTCAAAAGCCGAGCAGCACCGAAGCAATGCGCAGCGGCGAAGGGTGAGAGCCAAACTAGAGTCTTCTAGATGTCCCAGGCTTTTCCTCGGCCGAGGCGGCAACTGCACAACTGGGCAGTGCGGGTCAAGAGGACGAAGACCTATTGCACATGCTGGGCTCCACTGTGGCAGGCTCCTACCCGTTTGCAATGCATTGCTGTGCCCTTTCTTCCCCCACCCGCGTGTGTGTTGCAAGGTCCCAAGACATCTTCAGCTCTGCTGGCATTGGCTTCGGAGGATGAACTGCACGACCTGAAACGCCCCTCGGACACAAGCTTGGAGCCGGAGATTGAAAGCTAGTCGAACAACGTCCATACTGACATCTGAATCTACAGTTACCGTATTGTCATCTACTGGCTCAATCCATAACATCCTGACCCTTCGACCTGTCTTGCGCTATGTCTTGGCCGACATTGCCGATGCATGTCCTGGCGGCGCGCAGCTCTGCATGAAGCCCGACAAAACCCCCTGCCTGAGCCAATTCTCTGTGCCGTGCGCATGTGATCTATCCTTCTATGGCCTTTTTCTCTTCCGACAGCCACGCTGCACAAGCGGCAAACCGCCGAGCTGGGCTGAAACGCGGTCTTGTCAAGTTGGGCGGGAAGGTAATCCCCGTTCTAGCAATGAGTCGATGTATGTCGATGTCTTCGAGCCTCAATCTCCTTCGCGTGCGGCCCAGAGCTCGTTGCCGAAGCTCTGGGATGTGCCAGTCGTCGGCAATGGGTTCAGCGAGTGTGCCGTCACCCCTCGTTTTCAAATGCACAGTTTGGTTCAAAGCTTTCTTTTATCTCGATGTATACCCAAAAATCCGAACATGCACATTCTCAGTTCACTGGCACGAGTACTGACTCTCAATGAAGTGGCTGGCGCGAACTGTATTTTCCACTTCCTCTTCTCCCATCGTCTCGAGCCTCCGCAACTTCACTCCCTGTCGGCCTGGCATCACAGAAGATGTTTCACCCTTTTCGATTATGCCTACATCTAGTTCGAGCAAGCGGTCTTCGACGAAGCAGAGCGGCTGATTCGAAGGTCTGTTCAGATGAAAGCTGCCATTCTGAGCAATTACAGAACGGTCTTGGACATGGATACCGGAAACAAAGTTGCCCGCACCACGCAGGCCTCGCGCAATGTCGGCAAAGAGTGCGGTTGTTGAAATGTTCCTACATCACCGACCTCACCCAGCAGGATAAAGCACTGACATGAGGTTTATGCATGCCCACGAGCCCACTAATAAAAGAGGTCCTCTTGAGTGTAACTAGTCTTGACAACAAGAGTTGAGCCCAGCTGACTTTAGACAGCAGCGCTCTTAGCGGCATGCTTGTGGGCGTGGGCGACTGCAACATCGTCGTACCAAGATTGGACGTCATCCGCGCCTGCATCAGACTTATCTGGTTTCAGGCATGTGAGCCCTGGAACTCCAACATTGGCTGGCACAGTATACTGTGTAAATCCGCGAAGTGTAAGTTGTCAGCTATGTCGTGCTCTGGCCTGCATCGCCAAGATTTCGTGATGCATTGGTGATAGACTGGGATGTCTGTCTACATCCGCGAAGAATCTCTGTTGTTTTGTCAGCATTAATTCACATCCTGCATTCTTGGCAGCGGCCGCGGTTATTTCGCCTGAGCTGTCGGAGGAGCTTTTCAGTTGAGCCGCAGTGCTTCAACTGCCGGCGCGGAGGAGGCCTGCCTTTGAAGCCGCATTCATGCCCTGCAACGTCTAGCTCCCTCAAGTTGCTTGCAACTCGCTTCTCGACAGCGCAGGCCATCGCCGTGGAGATGCAACAGCGCGGCTTGCGAGTCTGAAAAACTGCGACGTGTGGCCAGTGCTACACAGACCTCGCATGGCCCCGTTCAGCCGTCACGGGCTTGCGCGATGCCATTGACCGTATTTGTCTCCTGGCAAAGCCGTGCGGCAGGCGGGCATCGCCAACTTCCACCTTCTCACAGCCGTCAGAGTCTTTGACCGCCTTCATGCGATGCGTTTACGAGTTTGCGAGCGACTTCACTCGGCGAGCCCAGGTCTTGGCAAAAGATGTCCACAGGGTTTCTCTTTCGCTGCCAAAGAAAAGGGCCCTTGCCAAAGTCGCTGCAGACCAGAGGAGACCGCAGAATTTAAAATGCAGATGCTGGAGGCAACAACGACAAACTACGACAAAGCCCTGGTACGCTTCTTCGAGCAGGCTGAACACAGCATTAGTAGATACTAGTATAGGCAGTGACAAGCCGTGCTGAAGGGTATAGTAGGGTGAGTGAACGTTCGTTCGCCGATGTCGCTTTATCCCGGTCAGACACGTGAGAGGGACAGCAGCCAGGTGTATCAGGGCATCAAAGACCACATCAACCTGGATTTGGTGAAGTGTGTGCTGATGGCCGGTCCAGGCTTTGTGAAGGAGAGGTCTGCCAATGTTGATGATGCATCATGGAGCATTTTTTGCATGTGTTGTCCCGGAAGTTCGCGAGCTCAACTGTCGTCCGTGAAACCATAGTTGGGGACGAACTTCGCTGCTACCAAAGCTCGTTTTGGCAGGACGACTTTCTGGGGTGGATGCTTCAAAAAGCGACCCAGTCGGGGCACCGCACTCAGAGTGCCATCCACCAGAACAAGACATAGATGGCCGATCACCAAATGAACGACCGAAGCGGCACATGGCCGTAGGATTGAGAACAGAGCTGTTTGCCTGTTCCACTATTGCTGCCTACGTTTTTTCGCCGAAGTCACGGCCGGTAGCATGACACTCGTGCATTTATTGGTGCCCCAGGGATACGCAGCTGCTGCAGAAGAAGAGCAGCTTCGTGTCCGTCCACGCATCCTGTGTGCAGCTGTGGCAGCAACTAGCTGACAGCGCAAAGGTGCGAATGCGAGCAGGCCATCCAGAAGCTTAGGGCCTAGAGGGGGAAGCATCTTTGTGTCTGACGACTGATATGGCGGTATGGTACAACGGCATTGTTCATTGACGAGCACGTGTGGAAAGCGATTGCGTTGCACGCCCTCTTCTCCCAACATGTCGCGGATCTATCTTTTGCGAGTGTTTTTGGGACCAATTTGCAGGTTCGGTCCGGAAGTGCAGGAGTGCCATTGACAGCTTTGGCTGCTCAAACCTGTGGGTTGCCCGTTTTTGTTCACCTTTCCTTATGCCCCAAGCTGCGGGCCTGCACAGCACGAGCTTGCACGGTCCGTATTGCACGTTCAGGATGTAGTTACTCGTGTTTGATGCCAGGGATCTTCGACATCGAACTGGTACTTGCAAGGCATCTGTCCGTCTTCCGAGGCATAAGCAAGCGCTGAAGGAGTTGCTCGCAGACGAGCAGGCCTCTGCCAGACTGAACGGTCCCAAAACACCCGCAAAGAGGTGCTTGGATTGCCGGGGGTCTTGACACCAGGTCCAGAAAAGCATCGCCAACACAAAGGCAGCGGCTCACTTGAAGGCCAGGAACACTTATCCAGGCGTATTCGTGTTGCTTCCTAGAGCAAGGCGCTGGAGGAGTTCTACATGATGGTACAAAAGGAGTCCCGTGCTTGATGGCCCGACGGTCCACAGCTTGAAGCCCCCAAAATGTCATCAGAACTTGTTGAAGCGAGGCCCGATCGAGTTTGCTACGGTCCGAAGCAGGCCACATTAGCACGCCAAAACCATGGTGGTTCCCGAGATTCCATGACAAGATACCGCGCAAAAGCTCAGGTCCATGAAGCCGTCGAGAAATGTGCAGTCCAAACCCTCATGGTGCTGGAGCTAAGAGCTTTTCGGAGCTTTCAGCCCTGGACACGACTGGCTCTTGTAAGCTTTTTCAGGTGGTGGATTCGCTGTTTCGGAATGCGAACATGAAGTTGCGGAGACAGTGCGGAGAGCGGGATGCTGAAATCTATCCGCACGACACTGGGATGCCAGGTACGTTGAGATGGTTGAGACGGCGAGAGACCAGGCCAGGCCACAGCATGCCACAGCATGAGGAGAAGAGGAACGCATTTGCTGCAATGCGTTGCAATACTTGAAAGCGTTCTTGGCCAAGGGAAGTCGACTTGTGGTGCACTTGTTCTAAGTGTGTCATGGAGTCCCGCCGCCAGTGTTGTTTCTTCACGCCCAATTCCGCTTCATGGATGTCTGATAAGCCAAGGATTCCATGTCCATGATCCGACTTGAAAGCCAGTGGTCTCCACAGCTGGCTACATACAACTGCCCGAACTGTCTGGCACGAGGATCAGAAAGGGAGCTCCAAAGGTCCAAACTTGCAAAAGAAACGTGCGACCTCACCTAGTTTAACTGTCAGGTTGTTGGGCAGGGAGGGGAAGGAGGGCAAGCTTGAACATGCTTCGAGCTAACTCAGTTCTACATCAAGTCCAGAGTCCTGCAATCAAGGTGTTGTTCCCACGTGTTGTAGTCTTTCCAGTGCATGTGAAGCATGATCCCTACACACCGATTTTGAGGAAGCCAGTCTAGAATCCCTGCAAGGGCGCCAGCTGCCAAATTTTCTCTTCGCAGCATGTCAGCGGCGAGCAGCTTCAGGCCAGTCCAAGCGATAAACAGGCAACTGACAGAGGCACTCCAAGATTCGAGCATTGGAGCATGGCAGCTGTTCACTGCCTTCCTGCATGGGCTTTGCTCCCTGCTCAGCAACTCAGCGGCATCGCCGGCATCCTGCGCTTCCCGCTGCCAGAAATTGGCGACATCGACAGGCTGTTCTAGAGACTTGCGACGAGTCATACAAATTCTGTTCATCTTACCCTGTTTTTCGCGCACTCACATACTGCCGCAGTGATGCGGGGCTCAGCGACGCCGGTGCTGAAGAGGAGAAGGAAAAGATGCCGCAGGCTCGGGTGATGAATTAATTCCTCGGGGGACGACACAACCAAAGCAGGGGTCTGTAAGTAAAATGCGGCTGCAACGTCCCCTGAATCAACTGCAACTATCAGTGCTCCAGCTGTAGCTCTGATCTGTTCAGCTTGCTGACAGGAGGATGCCGACGACTTTATGTGACAACAAGACATGGCTTGCCGAAAAGCGTGTGTGCTTGTGTGTGTGTGTCATCTGCCAAAGGCTGCGGTTCAGTCGTGGCGCACCGACCTGATTCGCTGAATGAATGTGAGATGCCTTGCCTGCAGTCTTTGGCTCGGACGAGGGCCCGACACTGCAGGGACCCATGGCAGTGTAGCGGCCTTGGATACCAAATCGAGAGACTCCTCTCGAGTTGCGGCGCGAGCGACTTTTTTTTGGAGGAAGACATTTGCTGAGGATCGTGCCGGGTCAGCCAGCGCAGCTTATCCTGGATGAGGGAGAGGTGGAGGACATCCCACGACTTTGCGTATCGAGACTTGCAAGAGCTGTCGGCACGCAAACTTCTGAGGCCTAGTGGCCTAGTCAAGATCGCCTGGAAATTGCGCCAGCTCAGTTGCGCATGGCGAGGATCCCTTCAAAGACAGGCGACATGGATTGGCCCCGGGAGAGGCCGGTAGGCACAAAACTTTTTTGTGGGTCTGCAGAAGTCTGGGACAGGGGGGTAGTGTGTCCGCATGTATGTCATTACTAGAATGTCACAGAATATACTATAACACTATAACACCATATGGCATAGCACAACCTAGTATAACACAACTTGTCAGTAGATAGTATAGAGATAGTATAACATAGCACAACATGATATAGTGTAATGTAATACAGCATACTGTCTATGTGTCTATATACATATAGATATGCACACCTATAGTCGTATATATATATATATACACATGTGGATGTTTCAGTTGTCTGCTTCTTTGTTTATAATATGGCACAAAACATAACATAATAGAACAGAATAGTAAAGGATGCGACATAGTCAGTACAGCAATTTTATCTTATGTCATTCCAGTGTAACGAATACTGAAGCATAACATCACGCTTGAAAGTATAAGGCCGCACACTGCAGGTTTCCTGATAGAATACCGTTAAGATAATGTAATGTCAATGTACCAGAACCTAGCCTAATACAACATAGTTCATCATAATCTGATAGGTTCCAATAAGTTCTAACATAACCTAACCTAATCGAATCTAATGTAGTTTAATCTAACCTACTTTATCTATCCGGACCAAAAACAATCCAATATTTCTACCCTGCCCGAGTCTAATCTAATTTAAGCCAACACGAGATGGGTCTATTATAGCATGCTGTACTGTACAGTAATACCGTGTGATATAACATCACGAAACATCACAAATGTGACAGATGTTCAATACCACAAACACAGTAGCATGTAACATGACATGAAATCCATGCTCTTGGTTTATAACATACAATCTGGATTCTGTAATATGGAATATGTATCATATGTTCTATCAACTGTAACCGATAATGGATACATGTGTATACATATAAGTATTAAGACAGACCACATGTAGTGTTTATCATGTTACACGTGTGTATATATATACATACATACACACACACATATATATATATAGGTTGCGAAATTTGAAAACTTTGTAAACAAATACAGCATTAATTGAGATTTCTAAACACCGTCATATTTGGTCAAAAAACTCCCTAAATTCATAAATGTCTAAAAAGTTCGCCCCTCTGTTTCGGATTATCGAGTGTGCGAGGTTCTGACATTTTGGAATTGTTGAATTGAAATTTTTCGAAATGTCCAAAAAGCTCGCCCTTATATTTTGGGTTATCGTGTGCACTTTGAACTATTGGAAAGTTTGGAAATGTTGGAACTTTCTTAGCTTTGGGGGATTAGAAAGCCTTGGAACTTTGGAAGTCTCCAGGTCAGCAGAAAAAAATGGGGTGAGATTTGAGGTCTTAACAACTCGGAAACACCTGATCGTTGTTGCTCTTTTGGCAGCGTTTATCTAGTTCCGCCTAATTTGTTACTATCAACCCGAACCATGTTTACAACATCTTCTGATTTCGAGACTGACAATTTAATATGGCAATGAACGAAAGCCTACAGTAGCTTTAAGCAATGTTTATAAACATCTAGTTGTCAGCGCCAGTAGATAGTTGCGACAATATCAGTATACACGTAGTAGTTGTTTGTTGTTGATTCCGGGCTAACGTATGTACTGCTCATTTACTGAGAGCTAAGATTCCACACTGATTCCACACTAAGAACCCGACCTACGTTGACATATTGCTTAATAAATATATTCAGTTACGAGTGAGAAGGTACTGCCAAATTCCTGAATTTTAGTCACAAAGTTGCAACAACTGACCATTGTTCACTTACTACCTAGTCTAGGTTAACTCGTCTCGGTGATGTTTCATCCAATGTGCAGGCAGGGCTCTTAGAGCTTTCGGTTGCAGCTCCTTTGGGGTCCTACCTGATGTTGGGTACAGCAAGCTTCAAACTGTGGTTTGAGACTTGAATGGGACAGCAGCAGCGGCAGTAGCATGCTGGTTGCCAAACAACCCTATACGATGCACACACGCAGTAATCATGCCATGCATGTGTCATGCTGTGATTGCGCCATCATTGAATACGCTGTTGGTTTTAGTCTTTGTTGTTGTCTGCTTCTCAATCAAGCCAACGGCCAATGGTGGTCTCGAAAACTCAGCTTTTAGTTAATACGTCTCACATGATTATCTATTCAAACAGATGTCGTTACTGGGGTGATTCATTACTTATTACCAATAGCCATTAATATTGAACAATCTGAACAGGCACAGGACATCTCTTGCTGGAGAACGCTTGAAAGTGTATAACTGTTACGTAACGAATATCGGGTCAACAAGTATGTGCGCGCTGAAATAACATGAGTTGCCATCATTCTAACATTTATTGGTTAAGTTTCAGCTTTCAGGAATTTGGTCTGCATGTCATCCAACCTATTTGACAAATTCAGTGCCTAAACATTGGCTGAATACTAGTCATACTCGTAACTGAGCGTCAATATTGAGCAATATGTCGACATCAACCGGGTTCTGGGTATGGAAGCTGAACACTGGTCCATTCTTGCAGCTTTGTGGTAAAACGTCATTAAATGAGAATTACATTCCAGTTGCATTAACATGTGGTTGTAACTTAGTATATTTATTGAGCAATATGTCGACATCAGCCGGGTTCTGAGTGAGGAAGCATGAAACCTCTTATTGTTCTGCCAACATGAAAAATTCATTTGGTGCCAAGTAGCTCAAACATTGAATGCGCATCAACTAGCTACCAGTGTAAACATACTTTTTTAGACCATAGTTCGTGATGTTAGACATTCATTCGTTTATCTAACTCGTGACTGACTGCAAGCGGTAATAGGGGCAGATTCAAACAAACAAACACTGATATACACTGGTCTAGAATATGGAACGGAAGGGAAATACCGTGTAAATATTGAACGGAGAGCAATTGAACCTCGACTTTTAATTCTCAGTTTGTCAGTTTATTGCATTTTGGGAAATCATTGTTCCACATCCGCTCAAGCAGTAAGAAAATCTTTCATGGAGCTGGACATCCAAGCAATCACCATCATTCATGAGTTTATAACATGCAAAGCTAAATCGTGAACGAAGCATTCATTTGTATGCGCAGTTTTCTGCCTCCTAATGTGTACAAGCATTTGACATGCGTGTTCATTGCAGGCGCGTACCAGCGATGATACAGATGTGATGACGGTTTTGCTGTGGAACTAATGCTGATATGCCAGTATGATGACAGTCATGACTTGGTGACAAAACCTGCATTTCGTATGTTCATCAACGTGTGACTCGGGACCAACACTTTGGCTATGTGACAGGAAGGGATAGGGGAATGAATGCTAGTAAGTACTCTAGAAAGTTACCGAAAATAAGGGTTGTTAAGCGCACTCTGCATAACATTACATGGTGTAATGTAATATACAAGAACTTGTGGTGTAGTCTGTAGTATGTTGATGCACTGTGACATGTTTCGATATACTCTGATATAACATGATATATACATATATATATATAACGTGAAATGAGATGATATAACGTTGTATAAGATGATACAATAAAATAACGAAATACAATATAATCTCACATGATATAAAATACTATGATATAAAACCTATATGTGTACATGCATAAACAGTATCGCCCACCCTCCACACAACCCCCCGCACGCACGGATCCACACCAACTGTTTTCCACTTGCAGACCTATAACGAGATGCCTCGAACCTAACTACTCCATGTGCAGAATGTGCTGCGAACACCAGTGAAAGCCTCTTTCTCAAGAACTTCTCCAACTCTTTAAATAGAAATTTTGCAAATCAGAATCCAAATCGGCAAAACAAGAAAGAGTCGAGGCACAACTGAAGAGAAACGAAATCTTGGTTTGTTTGGTTAGGAAAGGATTGCATGATCAACGGCTGTACCGGCGAAGAAGACCGCAGACAGCTCCTGCGTGCCAGATGCGTGACCAGTTTGCTTGGGACAGCCAAACTTCATGGACAGTGCAACATCTTTGAAGTCTCCAGAGGAACATGAACAAGTAGGTCCAAGAACAGGCCAGGCACGCGTCCTCGGAAGGTATGTATATACACACACATCATCACACATCCATACAAGTGTTTATGGGTGTGTCTATCCATCCAACTATCTGTTCATCTCTCTCTGTGTGTGTGTGTTGGTAGTTGTTTCGTTTGTTTACGCATCTGTTGATTTGCATTTGTGTTTGGTGCATGCTCAACTGTTTATTTGTTTGCAAATGAAGAAAAGAATCGCCAGCTTCAGCGCTGCACGGGCTGAGGAGCTCAAGGTCGCCCCACCCCCTTTGAGCTCGATGGTGAGGGCGGGGGCATCACTCGCTGGTGGATTGAAGGTCCACATGCCGAGTTTCCCGGGGCACGGCAAACGCACTCAGGTTTGAGACTGGAACATCGCCTCGACGCAAATTCCGGCAATTGTCCAACACGGAAGGCAATAGTATGCCCGAACCCAGGAATGGCATAAAACCTGATGCGATCAGAATCAGACGAACTAAAGCAGCTTGGTGTCTGAAGAACGGGCCCGGCACCACGAATGACAAAACGAATTGCTGCTGATGATGATGATGATGTTGACGATCAATGCATCTTGAGAATTCTGTACATACCTTATGTACTTCCTTAGCTTGGATTGCATGAGCCCTTGTCTTTCTGTGCAAAGCTGCCTCTCGAGACGGGCCCCGTGAGCTAGACGTTTTGCTTTTCCACGCGGCAAACAGACACATGTGTTGCCCTTCGAGGTCTGGAGCTGCGTTCGCCTAGTTGGCACCGGAGTTTGCGTCGTTGGAACACTTTCTTCGATGCCGCTCGTCCCGACGTTCGACATGGCCGCCGCTGATCCTCCTGACTTTGGCTTGGAGGACGACGACCTGCCTAGCCTCGATAATCCCGAAGAAGGAGCCCCAACCCAGAGCCAGGAGCCGAGGTGCTGACTAGCTGGGACGACTTGGTGCAGGACCTGTGACTCTTTCCAACACTACAGAGTGGACCGGCCTACTTCGAGGCCAGCCTCGCACGGACCAGGGCAATGGCATTATGTGCCCACTGGACATCTCCTGCTGCACCAGAGCCTCGGCGACTTCCCGACGTGCCCGCCGCCACGACCCTTACCTACCACGACCCCTGGAGATCGATTTCTTCGTCCTGGCCAGTGTTCCCCAACGAGCCCCTGAACTACCACTGCGCGACCCACCTCAAGATGAACGGCCAGGCGATCAGGCAGAGCACCCTCAGCACCTCACCTTGGCCCGGAAGAGCAAGGCAGACACCGCCTCGTGGCATAGCCGGATGGGACCTAGAAGAAGAATGTGCGGTGCGGTGCGGCACCCCGCCAAGCCCTCCATCCTGGAAATATGATGTCACGGACCTCCGGGCATTCAGCAAGTGGGCCCGGAAGATAGAGATTGGGAGGGCGCAAATCCGGAGCTATATGACGAGCCGAGAAGCTGCCCTGCTGCTCTGCACCGGCCTCACAGGCGAGGCGGAGGCCGAGCTGGAGCACGCGCCCTTGGAGCGCATCAACGCGGACGACGGCATCGACTACATCCTCCAGGCGCTGAAGGCCGCGATGGAGCAGAAGTCCGTGTGCCAGAAAAGGAAATTCCTGGCCGACGTTGATCAGCTGAACCGCTACCCGTGCGAGAGCTTGCGCACCTTCGCCAACACATAAGCGCTCCTTGGAGGCCCTCGGTGTGAAGACCACCGGCATGTATGATGCCGAGGTAGAAGGACGCCGCCTCCTTGAAAGGGCCCGCCTTACCCAGGCGGATCAGAGGCTCATCTTGGTCGGCGCCCGCTACAGCCTGAACTTTGACGACATTACCGACAGCGTGGTGATGCAGTACCCTGAGTTCATCGCGGCGCCCCCGGTCGTGAACAGGGACGGGACCTTGGTGCAAGACACCTCACCCGAGCGAGACAAGGCGACCGATGATCCGGAGTATGGCTCCCTGTTCAACGTTGTGTTCAAGGTGCCGGCCAGACCGAATACGTCGGCCGACTTCTCCAGGTCCGGTGCTGGACACGGCATGCCAGCGCACGTGCCCTGGTTTAGAATTGGAGAAAGCCTACGACCTTCAGCTCAGCAAGCGTGCCGCTAGCGCACCGGGTTCCTTGCACAGATTCTTTTCAGTTTGGAAGCGGAGACCCTCAAAGCGGCCCGGCGATCTTACCTGCCACTGGGCCTTGAACACACTAACTTGATTCCTTGATCTCTCTGCAACGTCTTTGGCCACGAGCAGATTGTCCCAGTTCACGGCATCTTGCAAGCGCTTTCATGTGACATGGTTGTTAAAGTCAGTGATGCAGACAGCCAGGTGACCACCAATCCTACGCAAAGGCACTGGCACAGACAGGTCTCGAAGCACACGCGGTCCCGGGGAGGATCATGCCAAGCTGGTCCAAAAGGAGGCAAGCAAAGGAATTTTTGCAGTCGCAACGCCAACTCCGACCTTGATGGCTTCGCTGCTGCGAGCGCCTAGTGAAACCTCTGCTCCACTTCCGGAAGCAGGTCTTCATGAGCCTGACCGTGGCGGTGAGCTTGGACATCATCCCGCCAGACCGCTTCGATTCGAGGCGATTCCCCCGGTCCTGGACGTGGACTTCAACCACTCCCAGGGCGCCTGCGATCATCCGGAATATGTCCGCTACAGGAATGCGTATGGGAATTTCGCCAAATGCAAGAAATGTCACAGAAGACTCCTGGGGAGATCACCCAAAGGCGGGATTCGCCACTACACAACTCAACTCGCGACCGCCTTTGCCCGCCTCTTCCAATATCTTGTCGGAGGCGGCCTCGTCGAGCAGCAGAGCGTCCCGGCCTTCCACCCGAACTTCCTTGACAGGGGCCACGCCGATGACCAAAAGACACATGTGTTGCGCTTCGAGCGCTGGAGCTGCGTTCGCTTAGACATCCAACCCCTGCATGTTCGCACACATTGTATTCGTCCATGAGCCCTGCACGAACAAGTCGGCATGCTCATACACACACATATGCACTTGGTGCGAAACGTTGGATCTTGACCAGGTATTGTTGTTGAAGGGGCACTTGAAGCGTGCCAACAGGAGACTTGGAGGCCCGTAGTAGGATCCCGTATGTATTGCACACAAATGTACTGCGCTCACCAACGGCATCCAAGAACACCGTGTCACATCCAGGACGCAAAGACCACTGGACGGGGAGCGCGCACAGTGCGTGCGCAGGAGGGCGGGCTTGCCACCGTCTTGAACCCGTACCGGTAGAAGGAGAGGAGGAGCTTGGAGCACTGAAGGCTCAAGTGCTTGCACCGCCTTGCCGGTGTTGGCCTTTGGGGGCCTGGCAGTCCTTGAATTAAACCCTGACTTCGGTTGGGGGTGCCTTGGCGAGTGCGTGAGCACACATTATCACACTTTATATCGATGCAATTTTGTTTTCTCCGGCCGACCCGAACAGCCCCCCCCCACTTTGAAATCGTTTTCGTACATGTTGGGGCGTTTTATGGCGATGTTCCACTCAACGATTCCCTGATGAACGTGAGCAACTTCGACGTGACCTGTTGCCACTGTGTTTTCATTCCCATGCCATGCTGCTTGCGTGTGCATGTGCCCATGTGTGGAAGGCAGAAGCTTCGCATGTTTTGCAGTTGTCGGGAATTCCTTTTGCAGTTCAACGGTACGGGTTGGCAAGGGGCACTGCCTTCCGAATCCGACAGTTGTTCACGTGTGCCACGGACATTCTGCTGAGGTGCCGGTGATGACATTGACTGAACCTGCCATGCCGGTCACGACCATCGAGGCCAAGTAGAAGGGGTAGACCACAGATTGCAGGACGAACGCGAAACAGACTCATCCCTCTACAGTGACTCTACAGCTCACAGCTTGTCCATGCGTGCGAGGTGCCCGCTCACGCCGACAAGCGATTCTACGAAGGAGTCTTAGAGCTTCTCTCGGTCCTGCCATCATGTTGCACCCCTCGCCTCTACTCATCGCTAAGCATTCTGGTAGAGTTCAGGGATGTGTAGTGGCAGGGGAAGTGACGTTGACTCTTCGAATTGAATCGTAGGGCTTTCAAAGCGTGCGGGTCACTACTGGTGGGGCCAGCCCGGCTGTTGACGCAATACAGTTTTATTTGTTTGTCCTGAGTGCAAAGGTTGAACTAATTGTTGGCATTCGCTGCTGCATCCTACCCATAAGATGTATTTTCGTCTCATGCTGTGCCACTTCAGGCTTCGATGCTTGGATTCGGACTTGGATGCTACAGCTAGCTCACCTTTGCAGATCTTTGCAGGCGAAACACAGCCAGTCGTTGCACCAACTGCTTCAAGCAAGCTTTCAGCAACCAAACTGGGCAACGTTCTCAGCAGCTGGCAATGGGCGATGGCGGTGCCGCCGTGGGCAAGAGCAAGGACTGGAAAGCTGGCCTGAACTGCCATTTGGAATTGAATCCTGCGGTCATCGGAGGACGATGACTTGGAGAATCCTTACGAGTTGCTTCAAGTGGAAGACGATGCTGGTGAGAAGGAAATCAAGGACGGTGTTCACCTACACATGCTGTCTTGCTACAGGAGGACAGGACAACAGCATACAGCGGCAAGATTCATGATCAGAAGGCTTCGCCCAGTGCGAAGCGGGACCTGGAACACAAGCATCTCGTGGTGTGCTGTTGATTTTTTCGATCAGAACCCTGAACACTCATCTCTGACTTGCCTGAAGTCGCTGTTTCACGCGTGGTACTGTGACATCGCTGCATGTCACATTGACAGACACAAGATGACAAGAGACTCGCATGCAGACCGCCTACCGCAAAATCTCTTTGAAGTGCCACCCAGACAGTCACTCGGCGCGATGCAGATGCCAGTAGTCTACTAGGTCTTGAAGATGCTTGTGTTGCTTGTCATGCGTCCAAGGGCATCCAGACGATCCGGAGGCTTAGTTGTTGGATGTCCAGCAGACGCACTGGTGCATCCTGCTGCGGTGTGTCGTTCAGGCTGCGGAAAAGTTTGATCGGCTGACTCGAGCAAAGGACGCTGTTAAGAGCAGATGAATTGTTGCCTGTGCTGTGCTCTTGGTGATTTCGGGCATTCCGTCGTCTCGCTGTCAACAAAGCCGCTCACTTCGGTCAGGACCTGCTGCTCCTTGGCTGCGGCAGTGTGACTTGAAACACTTCGGCGTCAGAGCAGCACATGCGTGCTGTTACAATTGAACTCATCATCATTCGCTCAGGTTGGACCCGATTCGCCGGTCAGAGCTTGACAGGACTGGGTGACTGGGTCCTCTGGGAAGCCTGCAAATGCCTGCAAGCCTGGAACCTCAGCAATAAAATTTGTTAAAAGCACGGGGACTCATAGCAGGAAGCGCAAAGCTGCTCACGATTTGGAGGTCATGGGGCAGAAATTTGTCGCTAGCTTCACCTGACTTGAGGCGCTTGTCCCGGTAGGGCAGAATCAGCCATCCGCCATGCCAGGTGCGACATGCACAGGAGGATGCAAAACGTCGAAAGCTCCGAGAGGACTTGGAAGGTGTGGAATGGTGCAGCAGTTTTACTTCTCCGGTATTTGAAGACACTGCGTCATAGGCCGAGAGACTGCCGCCAATGCAAAGACCATGGCTGCAAAGCGAGCTGCGCAAGACGCCGAGGCCATCGATTCATGGATGGACAGTCGCAGGCATCGGGTGACATGCAAGACTCTACATACCTCTAAGCCTTCGAAGGCCAGGAAAAAGTTCCTGCAGCAGGACCGGTGCCTTGCGTGGTATGCGTGGTTGGACGAGAGTCTGAAAGCATGCCCCTGCAGCAGGACATGGCTTCGCGTATCCGAGCAAAAGAGGCCGAGCTGGCCAAGAAGCAGACAGCACCGGAGCCCGAGGCGCGAATCTGCTTCTGAGCTACCCCAAGACTCTACGGTCGTCGAGCTTCTGATTCTCCGCCGATGAGCGTTCTAGACTCTAGGCCCAAGTCTGTGGTTGAAGTGCGGGCATGGACCCCGATAAACGGCACATCGCACGAAGATGCAAGGCTCCGTGTGCCGGATCATGACATGGAGACATTGAAAGGTTTTGATCACTCAAGAATTTGTTTAGCCAGGCCACTCCTGCTACCGACAAGCCTTCAAAAGCATCAGCCCGAGACAAAAGAGGCCAGGGTGCAAAGTATGCTTGCTGCGACAATGTGCTTAGATGTGACATTGCATAAAATGTGCATAAGCTGCTCAGACTCTGGGATGATTCGAGGGCACATCCGGATGAATGATTGAAGTGCACTTGTCATGTTTTGTTGTGTGTTTTCCGCAGGTATTTTTCAAATGGAGCAAAAGGTTTCAGCTCGATGCTGTGAGCAAAAATACGTTTTCACACAATATATAACATGTAATAATACGATAAGCAACATAAGATGTATAGTATAATCTTTTACATGCTATATATACATATATATATATGTATATGGTATGCATTCGATCCTACACATTATATAGTAGATAACACAACATAAATCATATGTGATATATGACATACAATATATCATCTAGTCTGTCATGTAATATTATGAGACTATATAACATAACCCATTCGAAGTATACAACAATCTAACCTAGTCTGCCCTCGTCTCATCTAATCTGTAATATAATATATTACCATGATAATATGTAATATAGAATGTCATATAGTATAATGTCATAACACAACAAAAACTGTGTACAGTATGATCTAACATTTCATATGGTGTGCAATATAATATAACCGAATGTAACATAAAATAGAATAGGCTGAACCAGACCATAATATATGGTTCAGAATTATGTAAAGTACAATATATATATATGCATAATAGTCATTTAACACAGAGCATATAATATATACCATGATATGTGTAGCATGTAATATGTGGTATAAGATCAGATAGGATCGTATAATTTAGAATCTCTATAATACACTATCTACAAATATTTGTTTCGTTCATATTCAATCATGTTTCTGAAACGGTGGTGAGTGTTGGAGGTTGACCCTTCGTCTACATTCGTATCCGGAAGCAGAAACGGCATGGTAAAGATGACAGTTCTGCACGTGGCGGGTTTTTGTAAAAAAATGGGGGGGGGGGGAGCGGTCACCACCCACCCATCATTCAAAGGACTCCCACCCGCCACCCCCCTGACACCCCGTGTTGAGTGGGTTAGGGGGTGGCGTAGGTGTAGGGGTTTGGGTCAGGGGGTGTTCAAAGTTTTAGAGGTTGGGAGTTCGAAGGTTTACGAGTTTCGAAGTTTCAGCATCATGAAAGCTCGAGGAGTGTAGAGTTCAGAGGTTTGGAAGTTTGGAAGTTTGAATCGGATCGAGTTCGAAGGCTGATCTCACATCCCAAAGTCGCTCCCTGATTAGGTGAGTGCAGCTACCCCATATCATAAACCTGGTCCTCATTCTGCTGTGGCCGTCGATCTACTACACTCGCCCCCTCATCAGGCGATGGCGGTTTAGCTTATATTTCAAACCCGCCCGCTGTTTAGATGTTGGCGCTTGATCTCAAATCGGGAACCCCCACTTGTACGCAATGGCGGTTTATCTAATATCTCAAATCCGCCGCGGCGCGGTTGATCCCGTGTCCTAAACCCGGCCTAGTCAGGCCGATGGTCGCATAACTGAATCCCGTCCCCCCATTGGGCAAAGGCGCTTGATCCCACGAACGAGAATCAGCGAAAACAGCCCTAGAAACCCAAAAATCCAATAGTCTCCGGGCCCCAACCGGGATCATGGTTTTTGGAGCCCGAGAACTTTTGATGCGTTTGTTTTCCTAGGGTGTTTTTTGTTTCGCCTCAACGAACTCAAGGATGTGTTTTTTCAAATTTTTCAGTTTTCTTTTTTGTCGGATGGAGTCCCAAAATTCCCCAGCGGTTTTTATTTTTCACCGAAAATTTAAGGATGAAAATATGGTTCCAACAAGGCGCAACAAAAAAGCAGCAAAACAACCTGGGAAACCAGAAGCGAAAAGTCGCAGGGACCTGGCAAAGGTTGTGGATGGTTGTGGTTTTTGGTGTCCGTCGTCGTATAGTCTCTTTACATGTTTCTTGATGACCCACATCATTAAGATTGAAGCGTATACGAGTGTGCACGACTTGGGCGAATATCATATTGAGCACATGTGGAGTGGGATTGTAAAGAAACACGACTTGAGATCATCCATGAAGATGCAAAACGCTGTTTCCTCCCAAGAGCAGTTTTCGTGGTTTTTTACCATGGAAAAGAAAGCGAGCTAGGTTATTGGGGGGGGGGGTGGCTTAAATAGGGTCTATTTGGAAGCTGGCACTCGGGTTTTGTTGTAGTCATATACTCTCCCACGCAGGCCGACTGGCTGATACCAACGAGCTAGAGTACGTATTGGAGCAACATTCTGTTGTGCAGAGACTGTAAGAGACTTCCTCTCTCTATAGGTAAGGGAAGAAGATCCTGCCTATCCCCTTTACTTCTGGAAAAGATGGAAGGGAGCATGC